CGGTAGGCTGTGGGCCAAATCTGCCCATCGCCTGCGTTTGCAGAGCTAAGAGTGGTTTCTACACTTGTCAATAGTTGGGGGGGGGGGACGAAAGAATATTTCATGACTTGTGAACATTATACAAATTCCAGTGTTAGGGTGCCTAACGAGTTTCGTTAGAACGCGGCCACAGTTGTTCATTTGCTGACTGTCTGTGACTGCTTTTCTATCGCCAAGGGAGAGGGTGGCGCTTACAACACAGACAGTATGGCCCGCAAAGGCTAAGATATTTACTGCCTGACCTTGTCAGAAAGCCCATCGGCTCCAGTGTTAGGGCACTGGCAAAGCTGAGGCACACTGCCCCTTCCCTCCCCCCAAAATTAAAGTTCGGCTTCAGGGAGCTTATCAAGAATTTTACGATTAGAAAATCTAGATAGAAGCTGTGTTCATTTCAGTACATGTATGTGAGCTTTGGGTTTTATAGCTTTATAGTGTTTTGCGCATGTGTGATGGTGGGAGTGGGGTGGGGAAGAGAGAGAGACAGAGAGAGGGGGGGGAGAGAGTGCATGCGAGGGAGAATCATAATCTTTTCCAAGATTTAGGACCTCCTACCCGCTTCTTGTGCATCTATCGTATCTAGTACACGCGAGGCACATGGCGGGGGATTAGTCAACGTTTGTGGGATAAAAAAATAGGCTTCGTTCTCTCCATCAACCCAAATGAGTGATGCTCTCACTCATTTCACAGATGGAAAGTGAGGCCTAGAGAGCTGAGGACACCTGCTTGGGGCTCTTTCCTGGGCCATCAACAGTGAGGACAAGATGTCCTTTCTTGACTTGTGTTACTTCTGGGAGAAGTGGGGAACACAGAATAATGTGTCTGGTGGGGAGGCATTTTGCCCCTCCCTCCAGCGGCTTTCCACAACCAAGGTGCCCCCCTCCACCCCACAGGTTTCCAGGCCTTCCTCCCTTACTGGGGGGTCTTGGCAGGCTCCCAGGAGCCTGCTGAGGGATGAGTGGTTTTTTCCCTTTTCCGGCAAACAGGGGGTAGGTGTGGGTGAACAGCCCTGGGGAGGAGGCGTAGGGAAGTAGCTGAAGCTGAACTTCTGGGGGATTCAGCAAAGCTGAACCATAAACGGGCTGCCATTGAGACTAAGGGGCCTGCTGAAAGGGGGAATGGAGGGAGTTTGGGGAGCTACGGGCCCAAGTGGGGGTGCTGGGATTAGGAAAGGAAAGGGGCCTGAAACAGCGGGCCAAGGACCAGGGGGCCAACGTGGCAGCCTTGGGTGGGGTTATCCCTGCCTCCAAGTGCCCGTCCCCACCCCCAGCCAGGCCCTGGAAAATTTCCACACCCAGAGCTGGCTCTGAACCTGCAGAAAGCCAAACACCAAGCCAAGGAGAAAACCCACTTTCTCCTGATGTCAGACCCCTGCCCTCCAGCAGAGAAGGTTAGAGGATAAAGCAGATGAATAGGGCAGGGAACGCCTAGCATTTCTCACTTCTCCATCTGGGGCTCAGCGCCTCTCTGGAAGAATGGGCATGAGGGTTAATGGTGATCTTCTCCACCGTCAGGAGAAAATTCAAAGCCCTTTTCACGGCTGTCCAGGCTCTGCTCCAACCTCGGCTTGCACCACTTCTCCCTCACTTACTGCACTCTTAACACAGTGGACTTGAACGTACTCAGCTCCTTCCTGCCACGGGGCCTTTGCACGCACGGCTCCCTCAGCCTGGAACACTGCCCCACTCACTCATTCTTCATATTTCCGTTCAAACATCACTTCCTGAGGTTAATCTTCTGTCACCCACCCCCGTACACCGGGTTCACCTCATGTTCTCAGACCTGCAACCGGTTATCTGTGCGTTACGTGACTGCTTGCTCCCTGGGACCTCCGGTGTAGGTCCTCCAGTGAACCTCTGCCCAGGACCCGGTCTGTCTTGGTCCATGCGTTTTTCTAGTGCTTAGCACAGGGTCTGACGCCCAGCGAGATCAATAAGTGATTGTATGACAGCATGAACGAATGCCTGGCACCACCAGTGACCACACTCAGTGCCTGGAGCTGTGGAGTCACAGATGTGCCGAAACCACGTATTAGGAATTCATCTGCGTCTCCACACTCGGTTAGCACCACTCTGTTAGCACCAAGCGATGTTCTAGTGCGTAGCTGCCCACTAGAACTTTCTGTGATAATGACGGTGTTCTGGACCTATGCTGTCTGTCCAATATGGTAGCTCTGAGACGCACGTGGCCATGGAGCACTTGAGATGCGGCTGGTGGGACTGAGGAACTGAATTTTAAAGTTTAATTTTAATTAGCATACATTTAAATAGCTGCATGTAGTTAGCGGCTACCGTCTTGAACAGCTCCGGAGAACAGGGAAGGGTCCTACTATCTCCGCGGCTGCTACGTGCGGTTCTGTCGAGCAGGGATTCGCAGGAACTCCCCCAAACCTCCCTCAGCCGGCCCCTGGGGTCAAAGGTGCTAAGGATTCTCTGGCAGCTTCCTTGAGGCAGGCACTCACCACCCCCCACTGCCCACCAAGCTTGTCGGAGACCAGCAAGCGACGACCCCCAGAGACCTCCACAGGGATGGCATGCTTCCAGAACATGAATGCTGAGCGTGGACCTCACCATTTTTGTCACTATCGTTACCTATCACACGACCACCAAGACGGCCACCAGCCTCATTCTCCCCATCATTATTGCCCCATCACGCTACCCCCCCCCCCCAAG